CCTCGTCGACGTAGGTGCCTGTGGACTTCCAAGAAGCCATCTCTGCGTCCATGGCTGACTGCCACTGAGAGGACTAGGGACCCTCGATCGCCTCAGCGTACGATCGAGGAGTCGGGATGTCTGGTGCATCCGGGTCTCCCTCAGGGGCAATCAGTGTGGACACGAGATGAGGCAAAGCAGCAGCAAAACACTAGAACTCCTCCTGCCTGTCCTCAAGAACGTCCGTGCTAAGGGCACACTCACCCCCGACGGACGGAGGACAGACAGACTCAGACTCAGCAACAAGACTAGCGGCGTAGTCTAGACGACAGCGCGCAGCAAAGTCGACAAGCTCAGCCACTAAGGCAGACGCAGCACTCGACTCAAAGGAAGGGTTAGTGACAACAGTAGCTAGCAGATGCGTGAAGGTAGGACTGGCAGCACGACGAGAGTCAGACTCCGAGTCAGCAAGAACAGGAAGAGAGGACTCAGGAGGAGACGGCAACGGGACACGCAGAGGAGCAGTGGAAGGACGCAGTGCCATCAGGTGTGTGCCTGGGACCGTAGGAGGAGGCGGACGCGGAGCACGACGACTGGTGCGAGCAGCACGAACAGGCGACGCAGGACGAGACGCAGGCTCACGACGCTCAGCAAGACCTCCAGTAGGACTATTGTAGAGAGAAGGAGCAGGTAGGGGGGAGGCGGGCTGTAACTGTGACTGCGGCTGGACAGGCTGCGGACACTCTAAGGGAGGAGCAGGAGTAGTAGAAGGCGGGAGACCAAGAACCTGCTCAAGGAGCGCAACGAAGTACGGCCGCGGCCACGCAGTGCCTCCAGAACCAGCAGGGACAGCACCAGTACCCCCAGCGGCAGCACCAGCGCCAGCAGTACCTCCAGCTCCAACGGCGCCAGCTCCAGCACCCTCAGAAGCACCAGCGCTAGCAGAACCACCAGCGCCAACACCCCCAGCAGCTCCAGCTCCAGCAGGACCGGCAGCTCCAGTACCGCCAGCAGCTCCAGCAGTACCTTCGGGACCAGCAGCAACAGTAGTACCTCCAGCTCTAGCAGCACGGCTCCAGCGCCGGGCAAACCACTCGCGCAGCTCCTGTGGAGAGTGTGGCTCCCGCCTCGACAAAGCACCGCGAGCGGCCACACGAGCAGACCCAGCACCCCCACGCTCCGCACCCCCAGGCTCAGCACCCCCAAACTCAGCACCCCCAGGCTCAGCACCCCCAGACTCAGTAGCCCCAGGCTCAGCACCCGTGGACTCAGCACCCCCAGGCTCCACAACCTTTAGGCCCAGCACCCCCAGACCCGGCACCCGCAGGCTCAGCACCTCTAGCAGCACCAGAGTCAACAGCTACCTCGACAGGCTTGACTGCGTCTACCTGGGACACACCTGACGGGGCAGGACCCTGAGGGGGGAAGGGGTCTACCGGGGAAGGACCTGGCGCAAGGAGGAGCGACGGCCGGGGGAGGGTTCCAGTGCGGTAGGGGAAGAGACGGTAGTAAGGCACCGACTCGTCAAAGGTGATGTCCTGGGAGGACAGAACACGGCGCGAGGTGGGGTGGTAAAACTGCCACCTAGACGCGTCAGGGGGGAAGCCAAGAAAGATACAGGGAACAGCACGGGGGACAGCTTGTCCGCAGACAAGTCACGAACAAACGCCCGAGATCCCCAGACCTGAAACGCAGACGCATCGCCAACCTTCCCGGTCTACCGCAGGGTGGGGGAGGTCTCTGGCAAGGAGACCCGGGGCTGGAGGTTGAGCTGATGCGCTGCGTACTGAACCGCAAAGGGCCACAGAAAATGGGGGGCAGCCGCATGGATCATGGACGTACGAGCGACGTCCATGACCATGCCAATGCGGCGCTCAGCAATCCCATTTTGCTGTGGAGAGGCCAGAAGCGTGAAGGTCTGGCGGATGCCCTGTGCTCAACAGAAGGCTCCCAGACGGGCAGAGGAAAACTCCCCGCCTCTGTCAGAGTGCAGACGCAGAACAGGAAAGTCCGAGCCGAAACTCTCTCTGAGCTGGAGACGAGCTTCGCGGATCAAGTCGATCAACACCTCATTGACGTCACCCTTGCTGCGCAAGGGGAAGACTGAGGTGTAACGCATGTGGTCGTCAACCACCAATAGGAAGTAACACTCGTGCCCCTGTCCACGGACGTGGGCGGGGCCCCACACGTCCATGTGGAGAGTCTGCAGCGGAGCCTCTGTCGGAGGAAACTCGGAGGAGTGAGGGGCGGCGCGTTGTCGCCCCTCGACGCAGGGGACACAGGTAGGGGCAGGCCCTGGAGGTAGGGGAGGGAGAGACCGGGGGAGACCAGAGACAAGGACATGGGACGCCATGCCTCGGAGACGAGGCAGGGAGGGTTGACCAAGACGGTGGTGCCAAAGGAGAGTCTGGTGGGACAGGAGATGACAGGAGCAGGGAGTAGACTCAGGACCAGACCTGGATGCTGCAGCAAACACCTAACTCGACGCAGCTACCTGGCCAGACTCAGCAGCCGGAGGTGACTCGGTACTAAATGTGTACAGGCTCGACCCTGGCTGACGGGTGAACGTGGCCAGATGTCGGCCTGTCCGAGCGCACGTGCAGTGTGTCACCCGCTGACTCGCAGGAGTGAACTGGTCGACCCCCCTATCCTGCAGGTCAGCTCCACTCACCAAGTTCGTAGAGAACGAGGGGAGGTAGAGACCTGACAGGGTGCCAGAGGGGGCTGCCGGGCACGGTAAGACAGTGGAGAAGCTAGCAAGGACTGGACCCCCAAAGGGGTCCGCCAGGGAGACTGCAACCGGCCGACTAAGCGACGTAAACGTGGTGCGGTCTCGAAAGAAGGAGCGGGAAGCACCCGAGTCAAGGGTGAAGGTGTGTAGGGCTTGAGCCGCGTAATACCTGAGAGAGCGGACTCACCAGCACCTGGGGCAGCAGACGCACTAGCACCTGGAGCAGCAGCCTCACCAGCACCTAGAGTAGCAGCCTTAATGCCCGGGTCAGGCGGAACCCACAGATAGCAGTCACCCTCAACACTAACAGTCACAACATACATGGCAGCAAGAATAGCATCATAGTCAAGATCAAAGATGGCTACCCCCGCCCTAGACAGATCTCCCCAGTGAGGGATCTCTGATGCCTCAGGGAACTGGTGACGCCACGCGTCCGTCAGGCGGCCTACATGGGGGGGGGATTCTTGGCACAGAATTCAGCAGGAAGCGCAGCGCGGTAGCGAGTGTCACTAGTGCGGAGGTGCGTAATGAGGTCAGCGACTGTGGGAAAGGCAGCAAGGTCAGGGAAGAGGTACGGTAGCATGAGGCGGCTCAGTGCAGCAGTGGCAGGGGAAGAGTAGCGTGCAACTACAGCGTCGTACAAGGTCTGAGCACTCTTGTACTGGCTAAAGTGTGCACGCTCAGTGGTCGGTAAGTGGCAACGCACAGCAAGACGGGCAGCAGCATCGCGTGTCGCCCACTGTGAGCGAACAGTGCTGTCAGCAGTAGCAGGCGAGGAAGGGGAGGCACCAGAGGTTAGGTCGAACAGAGAGGGGTCGTCTGCCCTATCGCACTGGAGGAACAGCTAGAGGTCATCGACCCAGACCTCAAAGTCAACCGCGCGGCCCTCAGTGTCAAAGGTAAGAACACTGGGGGTAGCCATGACTGCAGAGGTCTAGCAAGGAGTGAGCTCACCAGTACGAGTAAGTAGGGCCGGGGCGCGCCGGTAGGACTGGTTGCGGCTCGACGGCAGGGCGGCTCGGCGGCTCAGCGGCCCGGCTGCTGGGCGGCTCGGCTGTCGGGCGGCTCGGCGGCTCGGCAGCTGGGCGGCTCGGCGGTCAGGCGGCTCGGCGGTTCGGCTGCTGGGCGGCTCGGCTGTCGGGCGGCTTGGCGGTTCGGCTGCAGGGCGGCTCGGCTGTCGGGCGGCTCGGGTGCTCTGCTGCTGGGCGGCTCGGCGGCCTTGGGAATGGGCTGCTCGTAGAGGCGGCGTTGGGGCCACTAGGGGCAGCGACGGGGCCGCGTAGGGAGGGGAGCGGCGATGGGGCCGCTAGGGGCGGCGACAGGGCCGCGTAGAGGCGGCGTCGGGGCCGCTTAGGAGCGGCAGCGGGGCCGCTTAGGGGCGGCGACGGGGCCGCGTAGGGGCGGCGACGGGGCCGCCTAGGGTGAGAGGCGGCGACGGGGCCGCTAGGGGCGGCATCGGGGCTTCGTAGGGGCGTCGACGGGGCCGCGTAGGGTAAGGGGCGGCGACGGGGCCGCTAGGGGCGGCGACGGGGCCGCTTAGGCGCGGCGACGGGGCCTCTAGGGGCGGCGACGGGCCCGTCTAGGGTGAGAGGCGGCGACGGGGCCGCTAGGGGGCGGCGACGGGGCCGATAGGGGCGTCGTTAGGGCCGCGTAGAGGCGGTGACGGAGCCGCGTAGGGTAAGGGGCGGCGACGGGGCCGCTAGGGGCGGCGACGGGGCCGCTTAGGGGCGGCGACGGGGCCGCTAGGGGCGGCAACGGGGCTTGGTGGGGGGGGCGGCGACGAGGCTGCTAGGGGCCACTAGGGGCCTGGAAAGGGCGGCGAAAAAGGCGTGCCTCGGGCAGGAGCGACTAGCGCTCCGGTCAGAAAGGAAGATTTCAGTGGTGGGCCAAAGGAAGCGTTCCCACTAGGGAATGAGGAATGAATGAAGTAGAAAGTAGGTGGGTACAAGTAGGAAACCTAGAAGTGTTGTACCCTATAATATATACCCCACTACAGCCTAGACAGACTATAGTATAAGAGTTTGACAGTTTGCTAAGTGTGGGGCGGCTGGGGATAGTGGTTCCTGCCCGTATGTCATTCGCACAGATGACCGCGCTGGTCAGACATGCAGGAGGCCGCACACTCAGCACCGCTGCTTCTACCGCCTTATGGACGCCTTTCGCGCAGAGTTTCCTGATGCGCCTGAGCTCCCCAACTGGGCGGAGCTGCTTAAGCAGAATGTTGATACCTTTGCTCTAGACTTTGATGCTATCCTATCTGCCATGTATGCATTGTCTGTTAGTGCTGAGGATGACTGTTACCTGTGAATGCCGCTACTACATAGTCACCCGGCTACCTGACTCTCTTCGCTTAGTCAGGGACCACTTCCTCTCAGTTTGCCCCACCACACTCACCGTTGACCTCCTCGAGGAGCGCCTCCTAGCAGCAGAGAAGAGCATCGTAGCTGTAGGAGCCTCTCGTGGTGACCCTCGCACCCCCGTCTTTGAGGGGTGTTCTCCCTCCCCCCTCTTGCCCTCTCTTAGTTCTGCTGCTGCTGCCGACCTCGTTGGTTTCTACGGGGTCGGCGCTGTAACTGCCCCTAGCGGGCGACGCCGCACCGGCAAGGGCAAGGGGGGCAAGGGAGCTGGAGGGGCCAGCGGGGGCGGTGGAGGTGGTGGTGGCGGCGGTGGAGGGGGTGGGGGTGGTGGTGGGAGTGGAGGCGGAGGAGGCGGCGGTGGTGGCGGAGGGAGCGGAGGTGGCAGAGGTGGCGGAGGCGGCGGAGGTGGCAGAGGCAGCGGAGGAGGCAGAGGCGGCGGCGGCGGCGGTGGAGCTGGTCGCGACTTTGCGCAGAGGAGTGGGTCCGGTGGTGGTCCGCGCCAGCAGCAGCAGCGCAGTTGTGAGACCCTGTCCCCTCAGCAGCTTCGTGAGTGGTACGCTGCGCGTCAGCGCGGTGGGGGTAGCGGTAGTGGAGGGGTCACGAGTGCAGCAGCGGGTGCAGTTGCAGTCACGGGAGGAGAGAGTAGAGGAGGAGTCTCGACCACACTAGGAGAGGGTAGAGCAGGAGTCCCGCCCGCAACAGCGGGTGCAGTTACAAACACAGCAGGAGAGAGTAGAGGAAGAGTCACGGCCGCAGCAGGAGAGGGTTGCGCAGGAGTCCCGGTCGCAGCAGCGGGTGCAGCTGCTACCGCAGCAGGATTGGGCAGAAGAGGAGCCACAGGAGCAGCAGCAGGGGCACCTTTGCAGTAGACGCCAGAAGAGGCAGAGCAGTAGCGACTGCCATTGCGCGACCTGCCCAACCCAGCACCTGCACTGTTCGTGGTCCCCTACCGTCCCCTCCTGTTCCCCCCAACCAGTCCCTTTCCTCATCCCAGTGTATTTGTCGTTCTCCCCTTAGTTGTGCTGTGTCTCCAGAGCCCTGTCGGTCTCGTTACTGTGCAGACGGCCCGTTCCACCTTGTTCTCCGCTCTCTTGTTCCACCTCCTTCAGTCCCTCTACAGCCTCCTGAGTCGTCCCTCACTGTGCTTCACGACCCGTTGTTCGACTACCTCCATGCCTCTTGTCGTGTCGTCTCCTGTGTTTTGTCCGCGTTGGTCATTCACCCGACTGCACCCGTGTCGTCTGTCTCTGCACTTGTTACCACAGTCGCTGGCATTGCTTCTTCCCACAGCCTTGATTACGCCGTTGACCTAGTGAGTGGCCCTGCTCATTCTTTGTCCTCTGCGGGTGCTCCTGTCTTTCCCTTGGGGGTCCTAGAGGATAGGCAGTTCGAGCTTGGTTCCCTTGCGGCTGCTGTTCCTCATCTCAGCGCCGTGCTGCTTGCCCCTGAGGGGGATCCAGGCGCCCTTGATATCCCAATTCCTCGCACACACGCTGAGTCCGTCTCGGGACTCATACTGGATAGCAGCTGAGGAGGCAGAGATGGCATCTTATTGGTCAACAAGCACCTACGTTGATGTTGTTCTGCCAGCTAGGGCGAATGTTGTCAGTGGTATGTGGCTCAACAAGGTAAAGTGGCCGCCTGGATTACCACCAGTGTTCGAGGCGTGTTACGTGGTGAGAGGCTTCAGTCAGCGAGAGGGGGTAGACTTCTTCCAAACCTTCGCTCTCACCCCAAAGACGACCTCTCTTTGGGTGTTGCTCCATATTGCAGCACAGCGCGACTAGGAGTTGCACTCATTGGACTTCTCCACCGCAATCCTTTAGAGGAGCCTGCACAAGCAGATCTGGCTGCGTCATCCGCCTGCCTTAACTGGCACTTTCCCTCCTGGGACCCAGTGGCAGCTGCGTCGACCGGTCTACAGCCTGCGCCAGGCTCGACGTGAGTGGCACAACACGCTACGTACGACCCTTGCAGCGCTTGACTTCTTTCCGTTGTCTGCTGACCCATCGCTGTTCGTCCGCTGTGGCTCAACCCCGTTCTTTGTTCTGGTCTACGTTGACGACCTGGTCTTTGCCACTCCCGACCGACGCGCATTGGACTCCATGAAGGAGGAACTGCAGAGGAGACACACTTCCACAGGCCTTGGTGAGCTGCAGCACTACCTTGGCCTGCAGATCACCAGGGATAGGGCAGCTTGCACCATTACGCTGGCGCAGTCGCATATGGTCGAGCAGATCCTCACGCGGTTTCGCTTCCCATTCTCCAAGGTACAGCCCACCTGTCTTGCTGTGGATCATGGACTCACGGCTCCACCTTTGCACGAGCCATTTGATTCCAGTGGTCCATATTCTCAGTTGGTGGGTTGTCTCATGTACCTGATGACCTGTACTCGCCCTGACCTAGTTTACCCTTTTAGCATCCTTGCGCGCTTTGTTGCACCTGGGAGAAACCGACCTTCCCACTGGTACGCTGCTAAGAGGGTGGCGGAGTATGTAGCAAGTACATCAGGCATAGGACTTATCCTTGGAGGGAAGCAGCCAGTTACACTTACAGGCTACTCAGCCTCGTCGTGGGCCGATGACGCAGAGTCGATGTGGTCTACACAGGCTTACTGCTTCAGCCTTTGAACCGGAGCTGTTTTGTGGAGGTCGACTCGAGTGTCGTCCGTCTCTAGTTCCAGCTGTAAGGCAGAGCTGTACGCTGCAGCCATGGCCGCCCATGAGCTTCTTTGGCTGTTTTTCCTCCTCACCGACCTTTGTGAGCAGCCTCGCTCTCCCCCAGTCTTGTTCGCCGACAACAGATCTGCTATCCTGTTGTGCGAGGAGCCCTGACTGGTTGGGAAGGCGAAGCATATCCAGCTTCGTTACTTTCTTCTGCGAGAGTTGCAGCAGCATGGCCAGACACTCGTGCGACATGTGGTCTCAGAGGTCAACACGGCAGATATCTTTACCGTTTCTACACCAGCTAGCCCTTGTGTTTACCGACCCACACTTTCTTTTGTAGAGATTCTTTGTCTTGTAGTCTTGCATCTCCTTATATCTCATATATATCTGCTTGTGGACTGGCCTTGTGGCCCCTTGCTTTCGTAGAGATGCTTGTCATGCATGTCTAGTATTCTTGCATCTTCTATATTTGCTTGCCTGTGGACTGGCCATTGTTGGTGTAAGGGCCTAATAAACTCAAGCTATTAAGACTTTATCACACTTAAAACCTCTCCTCGGGGTCACCTCCAAGGGTCCTTGGGTGCCTGGTACAAGACCAGCCCCTATCCTCGGGTCCGAGTTTGTAGAGAGAGGGATCAAGAGGGACTTAGTCAAAACAGCAAGAGTACCTTGAACGTCGCGCAGCGTATCGTGCAGACCGTCGATCGGATTAAGCTGAGAATTTCCTATATCGAAGCTCACTCTAAGAGCTTTAAAATAAGCCAAATTGCCTCGCGAAAATTTCTGCCATTACGAAGTTATGGCTCGGACAGCGTTAGCCTAGCGTTGGAGTGCTAGCGTACTAGCGTTGACTCGGGTAGCATTCCGCCGTCGCACCGCGTAGAAAACGAAATTCCAGCAAGGAAGGAATTCGCCTGAATCAATTTCACTATATTCAGGTACAAACAGAGAAGGAATAAATAGCTCTAGCTAGCAAGGACCTTGGGAATCAACCTGGGAACAACCAGGGATGATCCCAAATAATTCCAAGCAACAGAACCAACCTGGCTGGACAAAATAGCAGGTGATAGGTTGGTGAACAACCTCTGGTTCTGTTTTTCCAACCTGGGAAAACAACAACCAGGTTCAGGTCCTAAAAACAGAACCTGTTTTGTCTTTGCCCAACCAGCCAAATGCTGGTTCCGCTGGTTTCCCCTGGCCCTGTAGCATGCAGATACAGACAAACAACATCCAACCTTCACCTAAATTGTACCCCTATAGTGCCTGCCCTGCTACACTATAGTCAACCAAACAAAACAGTACAGTTTCGAGTTGGATAGAACTGAATCTGCGCAATCAAGTAAGCCAAACTGCAAAGCTTCCATCTTGGGTTCCTTTGCGAGCTCATCCTTTCTGCTTGTACTGTTCATAGCGCGTACAATGTTATGCCGAAGCGCACATTTTGCGAGTACCTGCAAATGCTTCAAGCGAAAATTGCGAAAGCAAACAAACACACGAACATACCATTCACACGCAAATGCATTCGCACACGCATACTCGTACAAACAGACGGCAGGATGTCGTGCAATGTGAATTTGCACCCAACACACTCCCCCTCAGCCTGCCGGCTGCATCCCCATCATTCCATACTAGTTCATGCTCATTCCACTCATGCGCACACAACGCCAATGAGGCTCATCCGCAAGCCTCTTGGTGAGGAAGTCTGCTGGCTGCTGGTGAGTCTTGATGTAGATCGGATTCACCGTCCCCCTCTTCACCTCCTTACGCAGCCAGTGCCACTTGATACGCATGTGCTTATTGAGCCCATGAAGCACAGCGTTCCTGGCCATCCCAAGAGCTCCCTTGCTATCACAAAACAGCGGCGTAGCAACATTTTGCTCCTGGCCAATCTCCTCCAACAGCCTCCTCAGCCAAATCACCTCCTTCACCCCATGAAACATTGCCATGTACTCTGACTCCACGGACGAGAGTGCTGTCTCTGCCTGCTTCTTTAACCTCCAACTATCCGGTCCTCCCCCAACTACGCAGATGTATCCTCCCACAGAGAAGGAATCCTCCTTCTCAGAGGCCCACGTAGCATCGGTAAAACAAGTGAGAAAAAGCTTGCCATCGGTAAATCCCCCTTCTCTTTCAGCACCTCAACCCCTTTCTGCTTCACCTGTGCAGATGCGGAGTATTGAACTCCAACGCTTGGGTGAGAGTTTAGATACTTCACCACACGCTCAGCTGCATCCACCTGCTCCTCTGATGGATTCTGCACCACCCTAGCCAGCTGCCCAACCGAGAAAGAGATGTCGGGCCTCGTGTGAACTGCTGCATACAAGAGGCTGCCCACCAAGGACTGAAATTGCTGCTGCTCCTCGGCTTCAACCCCTTCATCCTCTGCAGCTTTCACAAGCTTGAATTCTGCTGGCAGGGGAGTTGCAACCTTGCGCTCATTCTCAATTCCGTACTTCTCCCCAAGCTCCTTGATGAACTTCTCCTGGTGCAGTTTCAACCACCTGTGATCTGGATCCCTCTCTACGTGCATCCCGAGGTAGTACTTTACCTCCCCAAGGTTCTTGCAGTTGAAGTTCTCCATCAGCTGCTGCTGCACCTTCTGGGTCTCCTTCATGCTGCTGCTAAAGAGAAGAATGTCGTCCACATAGACTAGAAACAACACCAGCTTCTCCCCCTCCCCCTTGAGAAAGAGGCTCTCATCACAGCTGCTGGTCCTGAATCCCATCTCTTCTAAAACAGCTGCCAACTTCTGGTACCAGCAGCGTGGCGTCTGCTTCAAGCCGTAGATGGACTTTTTCAGCTTGCACACCCTGCCCGTACCATCCTCATACACAGGTGGCTGCGTCATGAACACCTCCTCCTCTAAAATCCCGTTGAGGAATGCCGTTGATATGTCCATCTGGATAATGAACTTCCCACTAACGGCTGCATCTGCCAACAAGACACGAAGGGTAGGGGGTTTGGCAGTGGGAGCAAAGATCTCATTGAAGTCCCGCTTCTCCTTCTGCATAAACCCCTTAGCCACCAACCTACTCTTGTAGATGGTGACCTGCCCCTTGTCGTCAGTCTTGATCCTTAGCACCCACTTGCATTGTACCGCTTTCTTTCCCTCAGGCAGCACCACTAGTTCCCAAGTCCCATTCTCCAGCAGGCTCTGGTACTCAGCATCCCTGGAAGCTAGCCATTTGTCCCTATCTGGTCCAGCTAATGCCTCCTCCATGCTAGCTGGTTCCTCTGGTGCAGGGGCAAGAAAACAGTACGCAGGTTGATCCTCCTCATCCGGGTCATAGCCATGCGGTAGAATCAGCAATGCCTCCTCGGTCCCAAGCTGCTGCTCCGCTACATCAGCTC